GCTGCACCAGTTTGCATTCCCACCCAAAATTTTTTTTAATGTTTATTTATCTTTTGAGAGAGACAGGGACAGAGTGGGAGTGGGGAAGGGACAGAGAGAGAAGGAGACACAGAATCTGAACCAGGCTCCAGGCTCTGAGCTGTCAGTGCAGAGCCTGACGCGGGGCTCGAACCCACGAACTGTGAGATCATGACCTGAGCCAGTCGGATGCTAAATTGACTGAGCCACCCAGGTGACCCTAAAATTGAGGTTTTTAATTTCATTTAGCTTGATCTGATTACACTGAAATGAAAAATTCCTAGTGAATCTGGAAAAGTTCATGAAAAGGATCCTCTGAATACTAAAAAAGGAATAAAGGCAAAGTCCAAATTAAATGTCTGGCAAGCTTGAGGGCGACCTTTCGGTGGCCTATTTAAAAGAACAAGTTCCTCTGATTGGTCCTGCCCATCAAGCCCTCCAGGAGAGAGGGAAAAGTTCACTTCCAGAGTTCAAGACCCTGAGGAGCACCAGTGCTTCAAAACCTTTTCACCAGCCGTGGAAAATGATTTACTTCTTCTTGGTCTTCCGATCAGAAGTGGGATGGGGTACACTGAGAATAAATAATCCAGTGCAGGTTCAGATTGCTGTGAATGGGTCAGTCAAAACAAGCTGCTCCTTCAGATCTTCAAAGTCTGGATTAAAATGTAGTGTCCCTATGGGATCGGCTTCCCCCAACAGCACCCCCCTGACCCTGTGTACGTGGTACAAGTCACAAACTGCAGATAAGCTTCAGGCACATACCTGTAGGCCACCATCCAGTTCTGTCCCATGAAATATAACCAGACTCCATCGGGGCTTAGATCTAGAATAGAACATGTAAAGGACGTTTGTAATTTCTGTCCATGGTACAATGGAAATTGGTGACACACCTGACAGCCAGTATTTTTCCCTCTCCAAATCTGGCACCTTGTTTGGCCATCGAGCTTGCAATGATCTGTCTCTGCTTTAGACTTTTGGAGGAGCATAGGTAAGGGACCAGTGATTGCCAAGGGTCTGTTCTTTGCCCCTAGAACTTCTCATTATCCTGTCCCACTGGCATCCCAGGCTAATCTCACCAGAAACAGAGGCCTTATTAAAAGTCAAAACATGTGTTCGTTCTTTTCTTCACAAGCAAGAGGGTGATGGGGATGGGGAAAGAGGCCTGGCCCATGAACACAGTGAAGTCCCTATGCCCTCATCACAGACTGCAGATCTTCCTGTGATGGCTGACTCAGCCTTGCCTGCCTACTTGAATTAGGGAGCTTTCAGAAACATAGAAGCCCAGGTCTCACCCTGGAGACTCTTAGGAAATCAGCTTGCAGAGGAACCCGGTCATCGGGATTTTTTAAAAGCTCCCGGGTGATTCCACCGGATAAGTGATGGGCATTTCTGTGCCACAGAAGGACTGGTGATGAAAGCCTACCACTGCGGGAGGTTCACCTGACCCTCTCGGGGTGACAAAACCGTTTGCTAGTTTCTCTGGGGTCAGGTTTGTTCTCTTCCCTCCCCCAACCTTGAGTTGTTATTTTTATAAACACACCCAAATACAGCCTGAGAGCTCTTGCTCAGGAAGAACCTCCCGTAGAGGCTGGGAAAAGGTCAGCCGATGCACCACACTGACGTGGTGGAGATCCTGATCCCACATCATTCCTGCCAGGACTGGGTAGCAGCTCACTACTGTGGGCTGTGACTTCTGCCGTGATGGTAGGAGGCTTGCTGGGGCCTCACACTTTTCTTGTCCTCCTCTAGGAGGAACGCATCTGGGGCTCCATGAAGAAGGCGGCTTTCATCCTGGGCTCTGGCCTTCTCTTGCTTGTGGCCTTCTCGAACTCGGTCTCAGGGTAAGTCTACACAACCAGCTTTAATTCCGGAGCTGGGGGCAGGGTGCTGCTGGTCTGGAGGCAGAGCATGGAGTAAGGAGCTTCACCCAGAAACCTGAATGATTTTTCTCCCAAGGCAACTTCAGAGATTTTGGGATGCTTCTGGCTGTTTTCAGCAAGCCCAATGGGAGAGGCTCCTGTCTACATTCGAAGGGAAGGAGTGGATCCTCTACATTATAGGTGAGGTTCCCAGACCATCAGTGCTTAGGGCTTGGGTACATGATTATAGCTTAATTCTTTTTCTGTTGTTTTCTTCTCTATTTTGAGATTTCTCAGCTCTTTATTCCAAGGAATGAAGATTTACAATTTAAGACAGTGTTAATCCCAAAGAGTGCTAAATTTGTGGGCAATCTGTAATGGATGCCTAAGGACATCTAAGAAAAGAACTTGAGATCTCCCCCTCCCAAAATAGAAAAATAAAAAAAGAAGTGATTTGTGTAAAACTGAATGCATGTTTAGAGTAATAATCCTGCTTCTGGATGTCAGGTCCACAGCACAGAGAGCTGCTCTATATCCTGTGAGACTATGTCCTTGTATCTAGTGAAATCTAGCTCTCGGGGCTTGACAGCATGTGGTCACTCAATCAATATTTACCGGCAGTGTGAATGGCGGTCAACAAACCAAAGAAAAGGTATCATTTCAACATAGATATTTATAACAGCATTGTCTGCAATAGTGAATGTCCTCAATGACGCATTCATTCACTCAAATAATATTTATTACTCTTAGTCTGTACCAAACTTATATGGAGGACATAGAGGTATTTAAGATGAAATGTTTCCCTCATTTCAAAAGCTATGTCATAGTCCAGAAGGGGAGATTTAAAAAAGTGCCAGTTGTCACAAAGCAAAAGTACAAATAAAACGTCCCTGACAATTTTTTTCCAGCTGGAAGGAGAACTCTGAGAACAGGCTAAACATTAACTATGACAGGTTCAATGCGATCTTATGCAGTCATTGAAAAGAACAATGCAGATTGCAAACGTATATGGGGAAAGTGGTGGTGAAACATTTGATATATTTCTGTTGCAGTGATAGGAAAACTACCTTTCACCCCAATGATACGCAAATACCAGGGAGGTTAAGTATTTGCAATTTTAAGTGTTACAACTGGAAGAAAGTTCAAGATCTTCTCTTGTTGGGGCTTTTATTCCATATCCCTCAAGGAGCTTTTGGATTCGCAAGCAGGCAGCCACCCTGATGGATGGCCCACCAGGCAACTACCGACCTAACATTTTTTTTCCAAAATAAGAAAGCTTGTTATTTCTGAGAATAAAAGTAAATACATGTTCAGTGTTAAAAATAAAAATCAGACAATTCAAATAAGCATGAAGAAAATGAAACTCACCCAATCCCATATCCAAGAAATAACCACAGTTAATATATAAGTATAAATGTCTTAATATTGGATATATGGTTGAACTTTTAAGACACCATTTTTTTTTCATTGAATAGATTGTGGACATCTTTCCATGTCAGTGAGTATAGACCGACTTATTATCTTAAGCTGCCTCATCTAATCCATTGTATAGAGATACTCTTCTATTTAGTCCATTCCCTATAAATGGACATTCAGGCTCCTTAAGTGTTCTATGATTTTTTTTTTTAATGCAGTAAAGGATGTGTGTATGGATATATGTGTGTCCTTTTTTCTTTTTTCCTGTCTCTGTTACACTCGCTTTTTTTTTTTTTAATACCTTCTGATACTGTCAAACTGCTCTCCAAGACATTGTGTTAATCATATTTCCCCACAGTGCTGGCCAAATATTTCTCAGATCCCACCTGCCACAGGCACTGGGTTTCTGGTGGCAGCAAGAAGGATACTGGAGGAGCGGTACAGAGGCATAGAGTTAAGTAAAATGTCCTTGCCCCTTGGGATATTTAGAAGGAAGAAGCAAACCATGGGCAGCATTAATAGCACAAGAGTTAGGTAACATTGTACTGTCACTCCAATAACTGCCAACAGGGGGGACAAAGTGTTCACAGTTGGATATCAGAGATACTTGGAATGACTTTGCCAGGAAAGTGGGATGTGGATCCAAAAAAAACCCGTATCTAAATTTTAAATCTTGATCAGCATTTTTGAAAGTATCCTGTAGAACATCAGTGCTGTGGGATGTGAATAGGTGGGGTGGCCATACAATGTATCATCCAAATAGGGACATCTGTGAGAGTAAATGAGGCACTGTTAACAATTATGCTAGACTGCTAGATGTAAACTGAAACTATCCTGGGCAGATAGGGATGCATGGCCACCCTATTCTTAGGTGGCCTGAGAAAACAAAAGTTCTAGGGTAAAAAAAGACTGGGAAAGGCTGAGTTTAACAAAGTCAAATAGGTTTCTCCACTGCAGGGATTTTTAGAGCCGTTGGCACGTTAGTCTGGACCATGGCTCTCCAAGAGACTTAGGTATGAACGCTGTTTAATCATGGAGGGCCTTGAGAGATGAGTTTTCCACTTTGGGAAATGCAGACTGGATTCCTGAAGTCCCACTGCTCAGTTAATAGGGATTAGGTTCCCAACTGACTCCTAGTCCAGTGGCTCATTGGGAACTGAATCATAGCAGGAGCTCCCTCTGTTTCTACCTTCCTTCGAATTCATAAAGGGCTCAGTGGGCACAGACTCCCAGATGTCAACCTAAATTTATTTGTAGTTTATTTATTTATTATTGTATTATATAGGTTATACATGTATTATAAATTTTATTTATATTTAACAAATTTTTGTATTTTTTTTTTTTTTTGTCTTCAAATACCTAGAAGGTTGTTGTTCCCATTTTACAACTAAGACAATAGAGACACTCCTTAAGTGACCTGGCTGAGTTCCCCCAGCTAGTTGGTCACCCCAGGACTAAAGGTAGGCCCTATGGCCCGGAGCTCCAAGACCTCCCTGGTAAGGGACCAGCTACAATGCAGCCTTCGTCACCATCAAGCTCGTGTTCAGTTAATACATGTGCTGTGAGAACCTTAATTGTTCTGATTGTTGCCTTCTACTTCCCAACCTTAGCTACCATTCTAGTACCTGCTCTGCTTTTCTGGAGCTTCAACGGGCTTCTGCTGGTGGCTGACACAGCCAGAAAACCGAACTTCATCTCCCGCTACCGAATTCAAGTTGGCCAGAATGAACCAGTGAGTGTTGCTGTGGCTTCTCTTGGTCAAAGCACAGAAAGCAAGAGCTGAAGCCACACTGAAAATTCTCACTGCAGGATGCTTGGGTGGCTCAGTCGGTTAAGGGTCTGACTCTTGGTTTCGGCTCAGGTCATGATCTCGCGGTTCATGGGTTCGAACCCCATATCAGGCTCTGTGCTGACCGTGTGTGGCGCCTGCTTGGGGTTCTCTCTGTCCTTCTCTCTCTGCCCTTCCCGCTTCTCTTTCTCTCTCAAAATAAATAAACTTAAAAAAAATTCTCATTGCAGGCCGAGGAGAGAGCATGGCCACTGTGAGCCAAGTTATTGTGCACAAGGCTTCCCCAGCTGAGAAGCTTAGAGAGAGGAAGTAATCTGTCCCACTTCTCAGAGCCAGCCAGGCAGGACGAATGTTCCAGTCTCCTGATTCCCAGCCCCAGCTCTGTGCCTGCCTGCACTGCCCCCACAGCACTGCCGTCAGCATTTTGGGAACCAAAATGATGGGGTCAGCTTGGCACTGGGCTGAATGCAGAGGTGTTAGGCAGCCCCCCACCTCGGCCACCCGAAGCAGGGATGGCGGTGGCTGGAGGCTGAAAGCGCAGATGACAGCTGTCATGAGTGAGGGACACAGCTGCTGAGACAGTGGCTAGCCCACTGTGAATAGAGGGTTCTGAATGTGTGGGCAGTGGCTGGATTTTAAGCAGGTCCTTCTCCCCAGTCATTTAACTGCTGGTGCATAGCAGATCCACAGTGAACAAGGCCTGGACTCTGCTTATGAGGAACCCCTGGCCCGGGAAGGGAGAGAAGGCCAGTACACACATCTCTGACTTACACACCACGGGAAATGAGTCCCACTGTGCCTGGAGCCCAGTCACCCCCCTTGGTGCTTTGACAACCTCCAAGAGCCTTTTCTTGTGCAGTGGGGAGCTGATTCTTAAACCCGGCTTCTTTGTCCAGTTTCCACCCAAAACACATTCTGGCTCCTTTCCCGGAGAAGACAATTATCTTTTAATTAGCTGTCCAGGTGCCTGGGTGGCTCATCTTAGCATTCAGGGCATTCTGCCCCAGCCCAGCACTCCAGAAAGCAGAAAAATAGTGCCCCGGACCCAGGCTTTCGGAATAGCCCCTTCCTGAACCAGGGCTGCTGGCCGGGCTTACAAACCCCCTCACTGGACACAATAGCTGCCAGCCAGCCGGGGGCCTCCCCTGGATCCAGCGTGGCAGGCATGGACCGGAGCCTATCAAAGCCAGTGCTTGGCTGTCGAGAGCCCTTCATCTGTCAGACCATGGCGGTCTCCTTGCCAGGCACCACTGGCTACAGCCTTAGGTCTTCAAGGCCAAGTACTGTAATAGCCTTCAGGGGTCAGATGATCAAACAGGCTCTGAGGTGGGACATGGGTAGACGATTCACGCTCAAGCTCTCTGACCCAACTCGTACTCTTAACCACCAGGCCACATCAGCTGTCAAGAGTATTACCTACCATGACGACGTTCATTGTGACCATCTACAGTGATCGGAGAGGCACACAGGGAAGGGCGGGTTGCATTTTGCAGAAGCCGAGGCCCAGAAAGGTGCAGTGACTAGCTCAAGGTCAGAGCGTCACTAGGAAGCAGAGCCGGGGCGTCGTCTCACCGGACTCTAGGTCCGGTGCTCCCACCTCAGGCGCACAGCTCCCCGCCCCTGCTTGCTCTCTACTCTCCTCGATAGCCAGTCCGAAGCTCCTCCTCCCTCCTCACATCCCCAACTTCCTGACTTCCTACTTCGCGAAGTAAACAGGGGCAAGCTGAAGACAGATCCCACAGACTTCCCCACTCCAGCTCCGCCTTCCACCTGATAGAACAGGTGCACTCTCTTTGCTTCCGTTGCTAACCCCTTCCTCCCCTCTCCGAGTGCTACACCCTATTACCTCTTGTTTACCTCAGGAAATTTCTCCTTTCTCTTCCCTTTCCCCCTCCCTCTCCTAGGCTCTTTCCCTCTGGATTACTAAACATGCTGTAATTTTTCCCATCTTAAGATCCAACCAAAGCAAACCCCCTTGCCCCCATCCTCCAGACTCAATACCACTCCTATTTCTGCTCTCCTTGGCAACCGGGCTCTTTGAAAGAGTTGTCTGTATAGTTTCCAGTTTCTCTCCATCCGCTTTCCTCCTCCCCTCCCCCCCGACATTTTGTAATCATGAAAAACTGGAAGCATAGACACAGAAGTTGAAAAAGCAGTACAATGATCACTCATTTACACACCACCTAGCTCCACCAGTTCTAAATATTTTACAGGATTTGCTTTATCTCTATGTAAAAATATATAGCTATGTATGCATCTATACCTTTTAGCTTAACCATCTGAAAGTAAGTTCCAGACATTACAAAACTTCACCCTAAATCCTTCAGCCTGTATCTCCTAAATAGCCACAAACCTTTATCATCTCGCGTCTTCTTTGAACCTCCTCTGGTGGGGCCTTTCCCACCATGGCACTGTTTCGCCTAAATAGCTCCCGGCAGGTGGGCTTATCTCATCAGAACTAGTGGGCCTGTTATATCCTTATTATATCTTCTCATACCTGGCTTTTCCAGCCCTTCTGGTTCCTCTTCCCCCCGCCCCTCCCCACCCGAGCCTCCTACTGCTGAGTGTCCCAGGGCTCGGGCCTTGCTCCCTGTCTCTGTCTTCATACCCTCACTTATCTGTTCCAGTGTCATGACTTTAAATACAATCTATATGCCGACAGCTCACACATTTCTGTCTCTAACCCGGAACTCTCTTCTGAATTCCAGGCTCAAGTTGCCAAATGCCTCTTTGACATCTCTACGCGGATGTCTAACGGACATCTCCAGTCCAACATGTCCCCAGGAGAATTTCTGATCAACCCCTCAAAGACTGCTACCCACATCCTCCCCAGTCTGAGTTCATGGCAATGCCTCAATTTCTAGTTGGTCCTCAACTACTTTCTCTCCCTCATACTCCACATCCGATCTGTCAGGAACCATGTTGGCTCTATTTCCAAAATAGTTCCGGAATCCAACCACTTCTCACTACCTCCACTGCCACCACCCTGGTCTGAGCCATCACTGTCTTCTGTCAATATTACTGCAACTGTCATTGGTCTCCCTGTGTCTATTCTTGCTCCTTTACAGTCTGTTCCAAATACAGCAGCCAGAGGATTCCTGTTAAGAGCTTGTCACTTGTCTTCTCACAGTGACCGCCCCCCCCCCTCCCCATTTCCCTTGGAGTAAAAATCAAAGTTTCCCAATGACCTACAAGACCCTATCTGCTCTGGCTCCTCCCCACCATTTTGGCCTCACCTCCTACTTCTCCCCACCTCACTCGCTCGCTCCTCTCCAGTCAAGTATACCTGCAATGTCTCTGAGAGCCTTTTCACCAGCTGTTGCCTTGGCCTGAAGACTCTCTTCCCCAGGTATCTGTTTCCCTCACCTTCCTCATCTCTTTGTTCAAACCTCACCATCTCCACAAAGCTTACCCTGACCATTGTATTTAAAATTACTGGTGCCAGGAATATAAACTCAATGAAGAAAGCAATCTTTGTTTTGACTATTGCTTCCTTCCCAGCACATGGGACACTGCCTGCAACATAGAGGGTGCTCAGAAGTATCAGTCAAATAAATGAAGGAGTAAACAGATGTGACACACTCCTCTTGGTCGAGGTTTCCAGAAGAGGTATACGGCTTCGTCTAATGGTGCTCTCAAACCAGGCTGGCCAGACCTGGTTTCACCATGGGATGGAACTGAAAGCGTAGAGAGTGGATTCCAGTCAGTCAATATATGCAGTGCCTGCAAAAGTTAGAGGAAGAGGAAGGCCTGAAGACTGAGGATCACTCTGAACCCAGCTTTACCTTGCAGCTGGAACCCCTCCAGCTCACAAAGAGAACTCAGGGAGAAATCCCTTATGACCAATCTGACACTAGCTCCTCAGGACCTGAGAAGTGACCTGTGGTCATGGGGCTATTCCTGGGAGCCCCAGTGCTCTGAAGAAGGGAAGGGTCAGGGGGTTACTGATTCTTGCACAAATGCTTCACTCTGGGCCTTGTCTAGGGGGCTGGGCCACATAAGGAGGCAGAGGACCTTGATCTCTGCATTCTGATCAAGCCTTCCTGGATGAGGAGGGGCCCAGAGGCTGAATAAGGATATCAACCTGAGAGCTGACAGCCTTCTCCAAGCACCCTAGAGGCGCCCTAAGGTGCCTGTCAGGAATAGGTGGGGCCTGGCCAGAGAAATGCGGAGAACAGCGGTGACAGTTGCAGGGAGGAGAACGCAGGCTCAGGCCTAGGAGACGGCTACTGGGAAGGGAGTTTCCAAAGGCAGGGGTATTGCCAGATGGTTCCACCTCAGGCCTTGGGCAGCAGTCAGGGGCTGCCAGCTATGGCCAAACATCATGCCTAGCATCCACCCTGAGTGAGGGCCTCCTGTGAGCGGGTCACAGTACAGTCTAGTTTCAAGAAGGGAAAGACCTACTTCTCACACTCTTGTCCATCTCCCTCCTTCCTTCCCTGATGCAGGTGGACGCCACGAAACTACGCCAGTCTATGCGCACAGTTCTCTTCAACCAGTGCATGATATCTGTCCCCATGGTGGTCTTCCTCTATCCCATCATCAAGGTGCGGGGAGACCCCTACCACCGAGAGCTACCCACCTTCCACTGGTTCCTTCTGGAGCTGGCTATCTTCACTCTGATTAACGAAGTCCTGTTCTACTACTCACACCGGTGAGCGGGGCCCTGCTGGAGCACAGCTGGCTTCTCCCTCTCCTAGGGCTCACTTTTAAGGGAGGAAATGGAGGCCTCAGAATTGTAGATGTAGGACCACCACCACCGGGCCTCAAAAGCTTATTAGTTAACATGGAGACATCTCTGTGCCACAGCTGACAATTTGCAACAAGTGAGAAATGCCCAGAAGAGAGCCTTCTGCATTCATGTGTGCAGCAGGGCACTTTCATTTCCTTTTTGAATCCTTTGTGGGCATCATCCCCACCATGGCTGATGCAACTGAGGTAGGGAGAGGCAAAGTAATCCAAATGATGCAGCATAAGAGGTGGGGGTAGAGCTCGAAGGCAGGTCTGAGTGCCAGTCCAATGTGTTTGCAACTTTGCTTGATAGGTAGAACTCCTAGTTCCTACCTTTGGTTTCTCATGGCCTGGTGGGAAAGGGAAAAGGGAGATTGGCAGATTATTAACTTAACTATTTTCCCAGGCTCCTTCACCACCCAACATTGTACAAGAAAATCCATAAGAAACACCATGAGTGGACAGCTCCCATTGGCGTGATCTCTTTCTACGCCCACCCTATCGAGCATGTGGTCAGTAGAGCTCTGCTCTCCCCAGAGGCAAAGGGCAGAGGGCCCCAACCCCCTACCCTAAGGTCTCCTGCAGAGAATTAGACATTGGCCCTTTCTCTCTTCTTCCCATTCAGCAGCTACCATTTATTGTTGGCCTGGCCTATGGTAGGCTATGTGAGATGCCCAAGATAACTTATCTCAAACAGTTAATTACTTGTCCCAAAGTTATAAAGCTAAATGACGCGGGCAAATCAAGGTTCTGCAACTCTTTTAGCTTCTCCAGATCTGAGTCAAGGAAGTCTTGACTGGGGCAAAGTAGACACCCTGGGTGATACCCTGGGGCAAATTAGACACACAACTGGTCCCTTCCATCTCTCTTGGGTCCACCTTCAAACAGCCCTACCCTTACAGGCCTCCAACATGCTGCCAGTGGTACTGGGTCCCATCCTAATGGGCTCCCACTTGTCCTCCATTGCCGTGTGGTTTTCCTTGGCCCTCATCTGCACCACTGTTTCCCACTGTGGCTACCACCTACCTTTCCTGCCTTCACCTGAATTCCATGACTACCACCATCTCAGGTAAGGCCTCCTTCCCCACTGTGGGTCCCTGGGCAATAGCCTTCACCTTCACCCCTGAGGCTTCTAGTAGAGACCCTGATGTCTCAGTTTAAACGTGCCAGTGCTAGGTGCGGCTGGGTGGCTCAGTCGGTTAAGTGTCTGACTCTTGATCTCAGCTCAGCTCTTGATCTCAGGATTGTGGGTTCATACCCCGTGTTGGGCTCCATTGGGGGTGGGGGGAATGTGCTGGTGCTAGTGAAGGGAGAGGTCTGGAGGTTGGGAAAATAATGACCATGCTGGACCTAGACCTCCTTGCTCTTTTCCTTCTGACACCGGGTCTTCCAGCAGCTGTGTGTTTTTAACCTCTATTTAGGTCCTGGACCCTTTGAATATCAAACGTAAGCTACAGACACTGTCACAACAATGCATGTATGCATAAGAATCCTGTATGCAGTTCAAGGAGACTTGCGTGCTCTCTGAAAGCCTCCAGGCTTTTTCAAGTGTGGTCAACAAACCTCCAGCACCATAATCACCTGAGATACTTTGATAAAATGCAGGTTCTCGGGTTCCACTGCAAATATGCTGAATCAAAGTGTGTGTGTGTGTCAGGGGGGAGGACTTGGAAATCTGCATTTTAGTGAGTGTTCCAGGGGATTCTGATGGAGGTGGTCCCTGAACCTACCTGGACAAGCCAAGCTCTGCCACAGGTTGACTTATGAGTATTGGACTCACATAGAGAGCTTTTCAAAGGCAGATCATAGATTTTCAGTCCAGAGCGGCCCCAGGATGTGTGCAACTCCCTGGAATATTCCAATGTAGGTGGTCAGCATGGTTGGGAACGGTTGTGGGGTAGGGGGGCCTAGAAGTGTGTGAGGCTGACGCAAATGAAAAGTCAGTCAGCGCACCGACCTCCAGCACCTTCCTCTCTCCAACAGGTTCAACCAGTGCTACGGGGTGCTGGGGGTGCTGGACCACCTCCATGGGACTGACACCATGTTTAAGCAGACCAAGGCCTACGAGAGACACAGACTCCTGCTGGGCTTCACTCCACTATCTGAGAGCATCCCGGATCCCTTGAAGAAGATGGATTGAGAGAGGGCCCAAGTGCCACCTTGGCTGTCCCCCTCAGTGGACTGCTAAAGTGGCCCGAGGCGTGCTGATTGTATCTAACTCGCTCCTTCAGCCATGCAGTTTCTTTCTGTCTTATTTTACAGGTTTATTTATTTTTGAGAGAGAGAGAGAGAGCCATGAGCAGGGGAGGGGCACAGAGGGGGACAGAGGATCCAAAGTGGGCTCTGTGCTGACAGCAGTGAGCCCCATGTGGGGCTTGAACTCATGAAAGGTGAGATCATAACTTGGGCTGAAGTTGGATGCTCAACTGACTGAGCCGCCCAGGTGCCCCAGCCATGCATTTTCTAATGACAGCACCACTGTGGCAAGGGGAAGCACATCTTCCCAGAAAGGTAGGGCCAAGGATGGGGCCAGGGCTCCCGCAACAGCCTCTGTTGTCCCTCAACAGGACCAGGAGTTGGCTTAAGGGGGAGAAACAAGAACAGTTCCCCAGAATGGAGGCCAGTGAGAAGGAAGAAACCACCTTACTAGGGCTCGGGGCAAGTCCCCCATGGTCCTTTGCTGTGGAAAGGGAGAGGTGAGACCCCGGGTGACTTTTTTATGGCCTAGGCAAGACACAAAGAATGCAAAGGTGGCAGTAAGACTGGAAGCCACTCCCAACTCCAGAGAGAGCTCCTTCTGGTGCCAGGGGGTGAGAGAACCAGAAGGTATTGCTTTGCCCCTTCCTGCACCAAAAAGCTTTTCTTATACCCTACTCTGGCCAGGGCCAGGACACCCCCATTGCCAATACACACACACACACACACACACACACACACACACA